AGTAGAGACGGGGTTTCACCATGTTGGCCAGGCAGGTCTCAAACTCCTGACCTCGTGATCCACCCGCCTGGGCCTCCCAAAGTGCTGGGATTATAGGCATGAGCCACCAGGCCAGGCCCTTAACATACTCTTAAACAACCAGTGGGTCTAAAAAGAAGTCACAAGGGAAATCAGAAGACACCTTGAGACAATGAAAGCAAAAACACAACACACCAAAACCTACAGCAGGCGACAAAATCGAAAGCAGTATGTGGGGGAGATTTATAGCTGTAAAGACTACGTTAAAAAAGCAAAAAGCTCAAATTAACAACCCATCTGCACACACTAAGGATAACTGAACAAAACCCAAAGCTAGCACAATGAAGGAGATAATGAAGAGCATGGCAGAGATACAACAGAGAATAGAAAAGCACAGAAATCTATAAAACCAAAAATTGGTTCTTTCTAAAGCACAAAACTGACAATGCTTTACCTAGATCAACAAAGAGACAAGACTCACATTACTAAAATTTGCAATGAAAGTGGGAACATTCCTAACAGATATAAGAGAATGCTTTATAAAACACCATTACATGCCAGCAACATACAGTGGAATATTATTCAGCCATAAAAAGGAATGGGGCCGGGTGCAATGACTCACACATGTAATCCTAGCACTTTGAGAGGCTAAGGTGGGTGGATCACTTGAGGTCAGGAGTTCAAGACCAGCCTTACCAACATGGTGAAACCCCATCTCTACTAAAAATACAAAAATTATCCAGGTATGGTGGCGCACACCTGTAATCCCAGCTACTTGGGAGGCTGAGGCAGGAGAATCACTTAAACCCCAGAGGCAGAGGTTGCAGTCAGCCATGATCACACCACTGCGCTCCAGCCTGGGCAAGAAGAGGGAAACTCCGTATTAAAAAAAAAAAAAAAAAAAAAAAAAAAAGAAAGAAGGAAAAAGCTATGTTGTGCTGACACATGCTACAACATGGATGAACTTTGAAAACATTATAGTTCCACTTCTGAGAAACATCTCCAATAGGCGAATTTATGGAAACAGAAACAGAGGTTACCAGGGGTTAGAGGGAGGGGGAAATGAGGAGTTAGCGAATGGACACAGAGCTTCTATTTGGGGTGATGAAAAAGTTTTGGAAATAGTGGTGATGGTTGCCCAACCGAATGGAAGTAATGCCACTTAATTCTACTTTTAAAAGCAGTTAAATTAGCATGTGTTACATGTATATTTTACCACAATTTTAAAAAAATAGTATCTGCAAGGACCATTTCCCAGCCAGGCTGGTGGCTGCCTTTCTACGGCCTTAGGGGAAAAGGAGCATTTTCTGCTTGTCTTCCTGAGGTTTCTTTTGCCCACCAATTAGGAACCTGTGAATTTCAAGGTCAAACTCTGGAATTCAGTCAGCACTAAGGGAAAAATTATAAACGGATAATATGTACAATACGGAAAGCGTGGACAAAGCTAAAGGAAGGGTGTTAGCCAGTGGACGGGCAGGACTTTGCCCCCACAGTCCTCTCCAGAGGCCCGTGGTCCACCCTTTTTCTTAGATGGGAATCGTTGCCCCTAACCATAGATTTCCATTGCCTGTCCATTTTCTCTCTGGGGAAAGGCTTGTGATGCTGTGTTTAGGGCTGCAGTCGGCCTCATTTCATAAGCATTCCTGCCCACAGTGCTCACCTCACAAAGCCATGCTCACTGCAGTGCCTGGGCTTGGACCCAGCAGAGGTAGGGGTGGTTCCGACTCTGACCTCTGCCCCCCTCAACTCTTCCAGAGCCATTGGGCACCTCCCAGGGGGCCCACAACCCAGCACCTGCCACCCAGCACCCTTGGCATCCTCTGCTTCTGACCTTCCAGAGCGATGTGTCCACCTGTGAACCAGGACTCCAGCATCCCTGCAACTCCTTGTGTGATTGGTGTCATCCAGAAACACCTTGGAAAGCCCCAGGCCCTCCGCCCTGTATTCTTTGTCCACAGCCTCTGCTTTGGTTATGTCCTGGTGCTGGGTGGGATAGTTAAACACGCAACACAGGCATTGTGGCAGGAAAGAGGGAGGCCACCGAGACAGGATCCACATACGCAGAAGGCCACGTCCTTACAACAAAGCACTGAAATGTAACCCCTGGGACAGTAACGTGCTGGCCTGAGCCCACCCCAGTGCCCTCCCAGGCTTCCCGGGACTGGGAGCAGCCAGCAGGATCCCGGTGACCTCCTACCTGCCTTTGTATTTTCAACTTCATACCCTGGAGTCTGTAATGGCAAGAGCCAGATGGATTGCAGGCGATTCTGAGCTGTTCCCTCCCGCTTGACAGATGCAAGTGTCACCCAGACACACAGCAGGGCTCGCCTCTGCCAGGGAGGCTTTTAAAGTCCATTTTCTGTTGCTTATAACACAATACCTAAAACTGGGTAATTTATAAAGAAAAGGAATTTCTTACAGTCATGAAGGCTGAGAGTCTGAGGTTGAGGTGTCACCGGATGGAAAGTCTTGACTGAGTTGTCCAGGTTCTTGGCATGTTGAACAAAGAAGTGAACAGAACGCACAAACAAAGCAGCAAAAAAACCAGGCAATGAAAGATGAAGCAGCCGGCCGGGCGCGGTGGCTCACACCCGTAATCACAGCACTTTGGGAGGCCGAGGCACCCGAGGTCAGCAGTGTGAGACCAGCCTGGCCAAACAAGGTAAAACCCATCTCCACTAAAAATACAAAAAAATTAGCTGTGTGTGGTGGCGGGCAGCTGAGACAGGAGAATCACTTGAATGCAGGAGGCAGAGGTTGCAGTGAGCCCATATCATCCCACTGGACTCCAGCCTGGGCAATAAGAGTGAAAATCCGTCTCAAGAAAAATAAAAGACATTGGTCAGTCTGGTTGCCCAAAAACAAACAAAAAGACAAAGCAACAAAATAACAGTGTACCAAAGGCACAGACTGAAGAAGCAAACACACAATCCACAGGGCCAGAGCAAGCCCAGCAAACGGGCAGGAGTCTCCCCACCGCACTGCCTCGCAGGGTTTTTATAAAGAATAGCTCTCGGGCCCCTAGCTGCCCTTTAGAGGCCTCCAATTGGTTACACCCTACGAAGAATTATCCTGGGCCAACCAGAGGCTGAAGTGGAGGCTTGGCCCACGGTCAATCAGAGGTTGAAGTGGAAGCTCCTGTCTTACTATCACAGGAGGCGGGACGTGGCCCGCGTGCTGCCCAGTCCGGCCTGGAACACGCTGCACCTGCTGTCCTCTGGCTCATGAGAACTGGCTGCACCTGCTGTTCCTTTGCTTCTGCCCCAACCCTTGGCTACGTTAATCCCCTCTTCTCCTGCCTCAGAGAGGCTGTATCTTGCTGGTGGGGACTCGGGTGTCCCGAGGCGGTACTGGGTATCACGTGGGGAGGATGTGAGCCTGCTCACGTGCTTCCTTAAATCTCTCTTCCTCTTACAAAGCCACCAGTTACCCTCCCATGATGACCCATGAATCCATGAATCCCTTTATGGGGGCAGGGCCCTGATGATCCAGTCACCTCTTAAAGGCATCACCTCTCAATACTGCCACATTGGGGATTAAATGTCAACATGAGTTTTGGAGGGGACAAGCATTGAAACCAAAGCAGAGGCATGACGGGTGGAGCCCAGAGGTGGAACACACCTGGGTCCCCACAGCCCACCCCTTCTGACACGGCCTGGCCATCCAGGGATGTAATGTTCTGAATGACAGGTAGGCATGACTGTGCTTTCTTTCAACAAGAGACAGGTGTCAGTCGCGAGGGCTGGGAAGAGGCACTAGAGTCCCAGGCTTTCTCTCATAGTGCTGGAGGCTGACTCAGCAGGTAGAAACACAATCATTCTTGTGGGTACCAGTGTGGCCAAGGAAGGGACACATTATTGCATCCTCAGGCTTTCCTTGCCCAAGAGGGACAGTCGCTGGGAGAGGCCCACACTGCCAGGTGGGTCTGTCTCACTCAGTCTGTGACAGGGAGACAGGGAGTCTCCTTTTTACAGCACACACCCCTCGACCAACCCAGGAAACCCAGGGTGGCCAAAGTGGTCACAGCCAGCCAGGGTGTCCCCTGCTTCTCTGGGGGACAGGGTTCACCCCGGCTCAGTTCTGCTGTATGGGGCCACAGGACCCACCCTCCCTGAGCCTTACTGTCCCGTCTGTAGGCTGGAGGGGCAGAGAGAGAGGCTGGCTTGTCCTTGGGTGCTGCTGCTTCCCACCACGGAGCCCCCACAGGCAAAGTTGCTCGGGATTCTGGAATCTTCTCTCATCTGAGACCCACCCTACCCCACAGTGCCTGTCTAGAAGGTAGGTTAGGAGTGGGAAGAAGACCCCCAACGTGGTTCCGAGCACTGGCTTTGGAGTCCGGGACCTGGGTTCAAATCCTTGCTCTGAGTGACCCTGGGTGTGTGATGCCCTCTCAGGCCTCATCTTCCTCTAGATAACTATAAACGTCTGAGAGGGGGCACAGTGCCACCTCTCAAGGCCATGGTGAGGTCAGGCTGGTCAAGTGCTCGGTGATGTGCCTGGGCTTGGACCCGGCAGAGGCAGGGTCAGGCAGTCAGGAGTGGTTCTGACTCTGCCCCACCAACCCTGCCAGAGCCATTGGGCATCCCCCAGGGGCTCACCACCCAGTGCGTACTGCCCAGCACCCTTCCCATCCTCTGCTTCCAACCTTCCGGGGTGAGGTGTTATTCCTTCTTTGACTTGAATCCAGCTAGAGGAGCTTTCTCTTCCCAGGCAGGTTCCCCAGACCTCAGTTAGAACACAGATGTCACTCCCTGCACCCAGAGGACATGGCATGGCTGGGCTCCCCTGGTCCAGAGGGGGTCACAGCCTGCCAGAGCCCAGCTCCCTCTCTGAATGCAGCTGAATGCAGATATGCCACCTCTCTGAATGCGGTGGGAGGGACTCGCCCAAAGTCCCTCCCCTGGCAAGTGAGGGAACAGGGCCTGCTGGCAGGCGGCCTTTACGTCTGTGGCCCTCTGCCCCAGGCTCAACCTATGCCTTACCCTGTTTTGGCAAAGTTGGTCCAGTAGGCGATCACAGCCTTTGAGACAGTCCTGTTTTGGGGCCGGTAGCAAAGGGCTTCCCGAATACGTACTGGATTCTGTCCATATGACCCGCCCCCACCCATTTGGGGTAAGTGGGCATCCGAGAAGGACGGGAAAACAGGTAGGTGTACATCTTGGCACTCCTGGAGGGGAGAGACCACCCAAGTAGGCAGGGTGCCCACTGGGGACTGCCCAGCCCAGACACTGGCCCTAGAGGGAGGTCACAGGCAGCGGGCAGGGAAGGGGCTGGGGAATTCACATGAAGAGACTGGGCTTCTTACACCCAGGGAAGGGAAAGCTGTGGATCAAATTCATGGATTCATGGGTTCTGCAATTTCAGTTGAATTCATACTTCACCTCCACAAAACACTGTGAGGCACCTTCCTTTTTTAATTCAGTATCAAGAAATAGTTTTCTCCCCAAGTGAATGTGCATTCTTCAATTGGATTGGACAAGGCATGGGCCCTCAACTGTTTCCCTTTTTGCCTTGACTGAAAGGAGGCTCACAGCTCAGTGGATTGCTTAGTTGCTGCAAAGCTTTCGTCCTAGACTTCTAGGTATACTCTTATCTTCTTATCTTTTTAGCACCCTAACTTATTGTTAATTTTTATTATTTATTTACTTATTATTGGAGACAGAGTGTCACTCCGTTGCTGATGCTGGAGTGCAGTGGCACAATCTCTACTCACTGCAACCTCCACCTCCCAGATTCAAGTGATTCTCCTGCGTCCGCCTCCTGAGTGGCTGGAACTGCAGGTGTGCACCACCACACCTGGCTAATTTTTGTATTTTTAGGAGAGCCAGGCTTTTGCTATGTTGGCCAGACTGGTCTCAAACTCCTGGCCTCAGGTGATCCCGTAGGGTGCAGGGCCGACCAGGGCAGAGGATCCTGAGGTTTGTAAATCCCCTGAAAGCTGGGAGGGAAAAAGAGTCCTTCAAGTCTTGCCAGGCCTCAGCAAAGCAGATCAGGCAGGCACAGGAGGGGACTCAAGTACCACTTTCCTGGACAACCAGACACCTGTCAGCCACCCAGAGCGAGGCCTCGGCTGAAAGGTGCAGCACCACGGGAGGGAACACCAGGACCCACCCCTGCCCAGGTCCCAGCACCCGGGACCCACCCCTGCCCAGGTCCCAGTGCCCGGGACCCACCCCTGCGCAGATCCTCACTTGGCGTTGGCTCTGTACTGGGCCAGGGCAATCTCAGTGGGCACCAGGAAGAGGATGTCAGTCTCAAAGTCCACCATGGACTTTGTTCTTCTTGTTCTCCTGGGATGGGTCCTGAGCCCAGGACTCGGTGTAGACATCAAAGGTAGTTTTGGTGCCTCTGAGCCCCTTGGTGATGGTGAACCCGCTGACCAGCTTGAAGAAGTCCTCCCTATGGGGAACAAGTAGGCACTGATGCTCCCCCTGTGCCAATAGGAGAGTGTCTGCACACCCAACCATATTGGTGCTAACTTTCTCACCCCCAATCCTCCACTCGATGCCTTCCTCCTCCAGGCTGGCCCAACTCCAGCACGGGTTGCCCCTGGGTCTGGTGCCATTGCCCCTGGGTCTGGTGCCCCCTTACTCTGTGACTTCCTGCTTGTCCTTGTTGATGGCAGGCATGTCAATGCTGGCGAAGATGTGGCCGTCCATATTGTTGGTTCCTGCTTGTAGCCGATGTCGGTGGCATTGGCGGATAGGTTGACAGGGTCATCGGGGATGAAGTCTCCATCAATTACAGGGAGGAAGCCCAGGTAGTGCAGCATGGGGTCTGGGTGGGAGAGCCAGCAGGTTCTAGTACCTTCCAGTGTCCCCCTGAGCTACCCCTTGCCTCTCAGGGCTGGAGTTGGCCATGTTCTTCCTTCTCTGATCTATGGACACTTGGGGCAGGGAGGATTCTGCACCATCGGGGACATCCTGTGCTCTGTAGGATGTTTAGGGCATCAAGAGCATCGACCCACGAGGTGCCAGGAGCACCCCTCCCCAACAGGGACAATCACAAACGTCTCCAGGCCTTGCCACACGTCCCAGGCTGAGAGCCACTGTCTAGGGCCAGATCTGTCCTCTTCAGCGGCAGCCCCTCCCTCTCCTCTCTCTCTCTTTGCTGGGCCTGAATCAGGAAGGAGGAAAACTTAGAAGCCACTGAGGGGACTGACGGAGAAGGAGCTCCCTCTCGCAGGGCTGGGTTCCAGTCCATTAGCCAAACATGGTGCGAGGTCTGCACTGCCCTCCACACCCCTGGACTGGCCCCTAGAGGACCCCGTGGCTGCTGAGACAGAGGGTCCCCGCTGTCACTGGGCCCAGCACAACGGGCCTTGCTCCCAGTGGGGCCCTGCTTCTTGCTTTGCTCGGACTTGCCCAGCCCGTGCAGTTGAGTTCCTGTCAGGTAGACATGCAGATGACGGGGCTTCATGGCACGTTTCCATGGGAGAATGAGCAAGAGAGAAGTGTAGCCTAGCAAGCTGGTGAGGCTGACACTCACAGGTGTTTGTGGAAGGGGTCCCCAGGCCTTCCTGGGGTACAGAATCGTGGAGCTGGAGGCCCCAGTGGACAGTTCAGTAAATGTTTGCTGAATGAATGAATGAATGAATGGTCATCTAGAAAAAAGGCTCTTGGTTTGGGGTATATGAATCTCCCTAAAATTGTATGCAAATGACAGCATATGAATGCATGAGGTGGGGCAGTGGGCCCCAAATGTTCATCAGCTTCTCAAAGGGGGAGTCAGTGACTCATGGGAGATAAGAAGAAAGAATGGCCAGGCGAGGTGGCTCACCCCTGTAACCCCAGCACTTTGGGAGTCTCCGCAGGCAGATCACCTGAGGTCAGGAGTTAGAGACCAACCTGGCCAACAAACCCCGTCTCTACTAAAAGTATAAAAATTAGCCAGGCATGGTGACACATGCCTGTAGTTCCAGCTACACAGGAGGCTGAGTCAGGAGAACCACTTGATCCCAGGAGGCGGAGGTTGCAATGAGCTGAGATCCTGCCACGGAACTCCAGCCTGGGCGACAGAGTGAGACTCCGTCAGTCTCAAAAAAAAAAAAAAGAAGAAGAAATGGCTTCCCATCTCCTCTTTCTTACAGCTGGGCCTTGGAGGGGAGACACCCGCTTGGTGGTGGCAGGACCAGGCTGCAGCTCTGCCACCTTCCTCTCTTCCAGAGTACTTCCTGGCAGTACCCCCCCCCCACCTCGAGACCCCACGGCCCAACCTGAGCAGCTACTCACACTCCATGCCTGCCAGCGGCATCTTATAGGCCAGCGTCAGGGCTTGGGGGTCGGTCACCTTCAGACACTTGGCCATCCTGGCAGTGTCGTCCACAGGGCAACCCACCTTCTCCGCCAGCTGGGGGCACAATCAAGGCCGGCGGGTGTGGGGAGGCCAGTGTTCACGGCGCAGAACGGGGTCCAGGACAGAGAATGGAAATGAGGACAGCCCCTACCCGGTATCAAAGCAGCCCCTCCCTGCCCACCCCTACCCTCCTCCATTTACCTTTTTGGCCCAGAAGAGGGGGTTTTTCTGGATGACCCAGGAGCTCAGGGCCACACCGCTCTGGCTGATGGCTCGCCGGATCAGGCCCTTGTTGTAGGGGGAGAGGGTCTACGACATCCAGAAATCCCGTCACCAAGGCCACTCCTGACTCCACCCACCCCAGGCTGGGCCAAGGACACCCCAGCACCACAGCCCCAGCTCCACACTGCCCCTCCCGCCCTCTGCCTCCTGTCTGAGCTTCCTGGCAAACTTTGGGACGGGCCCTCCCCTCCAGGGGTCCCCAGACCTGCAGAGAGACGCTGGCACCTCCAGCCGATTCCCCAAAGATGGTGATGTTGTTGGGGTCCCCCCCGAAGGCCGCAATATTCCTCTTCACCCAAGCAATGGCCATGTGCTGATCCCGAAGGCCATAGTTACCTGGGGGCAGGGCAGGGGAGTGGGTGCTAGAGACCAGCACCCAGACCTGGCCTGCAGGAGGGGAGACCAGCGTGGGAGGGGTGGAAATGCCCTCAACAGAGTTGGGGCCCCGGAGGAGCCCAGGTTGGCAAATAGTGGGTTCCTAAGGGGCTGGGTCGGGTGAGGTGCTGAATGGGGTGGGTCCCTAAGAGACTGGATTGGGTGGAGTGGTGGATGAGGTGGGTTCCCAGGAGGCTGGGTCCAGTGGGGTGCTGGACTGGGTGGGTCCCCAGGAGGCTGGGTTGGGTGGGGCGCTGGAGGGGGTGAGTTCCTGGACCTGAATCCGGAGGGAGCAAGGGAAGCCGACTCTGGGTGCCCAGAGGCAAAGACAGCTTCAAAGTGGGACAGCTCTGCACAGGAGACCCAGGAGCACCCCCTGCCCCGCACTGCTCAGGGCTTGAGGATTCCTGCTCCCCTCCTTATCCCTGGGGCTGTCCTGCTCCCAGAATCTTACAGGAAACTGGTTCAACCAGTGTTCCCACTAGGCAGCCCTCCAGGAGGTGGGGTGGAGGTGTGGGTTCTGGCCATGGCCGCCCGGCCTTGACTATGATCCTCAGTTTCCCCATGTGGAAGATGAGCCACAGCCGTGCCTCCTGTCGGCCTGTTTGCCATCAGATGGGAGGCCTGTCCGGCTCCCGGCAGGGGCGTACCCAATGCTCAGTGTCCCTGGAATGTTTCACACCAACCTTCCTCCTTCCTGAGGGGTGGGGCCTCCTTTTTCCCCCTCTCATCTTCCAGCACAGGGCCTAGCTGGCTGGGCACAGAGTTGATGGCCCCACGCCCAAGTCCCCATAGCTCCTGGGACCCCTGCTGGTAAAGATCCCCCCCCTAGGGACCCTCCACCCTTCCCTGTGCCATGAGAACTGCCTCTGTGCACCAAACTACCTAACCCTACAAGGAGACTAGAGGTTGGCACTCATCCACCCACTGTCCCTGGGGGAACTGAGACTTGGCAGCTTTTGGGCTTGAGGTCACCCTGTTGGGAGGCAGCTGTCTGTCCCACTGCCACCTCCTGTCCTTCTGGGGCAGCAGCTACCCTGCCAGTGGTGGGTGGTGGGAGCAGGTCGATGCTTTCTGGCTCCCACCTGTGCCAGGTTCCAGGTGGGGAAGGGCAGGGTGACCGTACACCCCCAGGCCCAGCCAGGGTCCCAGCAGCCCTCTGAAGTCTAGGCTGATGGGCCCCCTGCCACACTGGAGTGGGAGAGTGGCACACCTGCCGCTGGAGAAAAGAAGCCAAAACCAGCCCCTGCGGGCACCGCGGACAACCCCTGGGGGCCTCTGTGCCTCCTCGTGCCAGCACCCCCAGCCCCGCCCCACCTCTGGGAGGGGGTGTAGGGAAGTCACCTCCAAAAGTGTCCCTGTGGTATTGAGAGTGGCCTGAGGGCCTCAGGGTGGGGGATGGGGAGGGGTCTTACTGACCTGCCGAAAGCCTCTCAGCACCCTAAGAAGAGCTCACCCAAGAAGAGGGTGGCCTCCCCTTTGAGTCAGAATCCCAGGACTGCTGCCCAAACCTCCAGGTCCCAGGGGCAGGGAATGTGGAGAGCAGGCAGAGGGAATGGAGCAAGGCATCCCCCAGGCCTGAGAGGCGGCAGGCAGGAGAACAGCGTGGTCAGGGACTGGGGTCCCCTGTGCAACTCCTGCTAGAGATGGGGCCTGGGCCGGGCACCCTCGCCGGCTTCCTGTGGGGACTGGGGTTACTGTGGCTTGTCCCTCACAGGCAGAAAGGGCAGATTTTGTGGATGACTCAAAAGAGCTCTGGCCTGCCGGCTCTCCCTCTGGAGGAACCAGGACCCTGGTGTGGAGTAGCCCAGGTTTCAAGTTCCTGCTCAGAACAGAAGGTAACAGCTGTGCAATCCTGGGTAAACGGCCTGCCAGCCTCTCTCTACCCCTCTGCCAGCCTCTCTCTACCCCCTCTGCCAGCCTCTCTCTACCCCCTCTGCCAGCCTCTATCTATCCCCTCTGCCTGCCTCTCTCTGTCCCCTCTGCCAGCCTCTCTCTGTCCCCTCTGCCTGCCTCTCTCTGTCCCCTCTGCCTGCCTCTCTGTCCCCTCTGCCAGCCTCTCTCTATCCCCTCTTCCAGCCTCTACCCCCTCTGCCATCCTCTCTCTACCCCCCTCTGCCAGCCTCTCTCTACTCCTCTGCCTGCTTTCCCTGCCCCTGGGCCTGTTTCCCCTTCTATAAAATGGGAACAACATGGACCTCACAGAGGTTTTTAGGTGGGATCACCAGGCTTAGCAAATGCAATTTCAAGAGGCCCAGCCAGTTACATTGGAATTTCAGGTAAACAGTGAATTGGTTTTTACTATAAACATGTTTCATTTTTTTTGAGACTGAGTCTCGCTCTGTCACCCAGGGTGGAGTGCAGTGGTGTGATCTCAGCTCAGGCCAACCCCCACCTCCCAGGTTCAAGTGATTCTCCGGCCTTAGCCTCCCAAGAAGCTGGGATTACAGGTGCCTGTCACCATGCCTGACTAATTTTTGTATTATTAGTAGAGACGGAGTTTCACCATGTTGGCCAGGCTGGTCTCCAACTCCTGACCCAAGTGATCCTCCCCTCTTGGCCTCCCAAAGTGCTGGGATTACAGGCATGAGCCACGGCGCCCGGCCCATATAAGTATGTTTCAGATATTGCATGGGAGATTCTTACAGAGCAGTTCTTGGCGGTTTATCTGACATTCAAATGGAACTGGGCATCCTGTGTTTTACCTGGCACCTGTCCCCCTAGAAATGAGGGTGAGCGCCCGGGAACTGCCGTGGGGCTGTGCTGGGCTCTCTTCCTCAGCCTGGCCCCAAGTTTCCAGATAGGATTGAGCTGGGAGGAGACAGGACCTGCCCTCTGCTGGGCTCACCTTCGAGGCACTGGCCACTGCCCAGCAGCAGGTGAGGCCCAAGACAACCAGCTGCAGGCGCCCCATGGTGTGCGTCAGCCTCTGGCTGGCCCTCCCTCTGGGCCTCGGGTATTTGTTGCGCCAGGGCCAAGGTCACATGCTGGGTCATGTGCACTCAGACACCCCTTCCCCTCCACCCCACCCTGGTGCAGGGATGATCCGGTTTCCCCAAAACCCACGGTGCACCTGTGCAGGTTACTGCTTACCTGGGAGCAGAGGCAGGCATCACGGTGGCGGGCAGGAAGGAGGATGGTGGGGCCGGGCAGGGTGCACAGTTGTCATCACCCGAAGACTACAGATTTTCTAGGGCTTTTTTGGGGTTTTTTTTTTGAGACATGGTCTCACTCTGTCACCCAGGCTAGAGTGCAGTGGCACAATCACAGCTCACTACAGTCTGAAACTCCTAAGCTCAAGGATTCTCCTGCTTCACCCTCTCAAGTAGCTGGGATTACAGGCGTGTGCCATCACACCCGCTAATTTTTGTATTTTTAGTAGAGACAGGGTTTTGCCATGTTAGCCAAGCTGGTCTCGAACTCCTGAGCTCAAGTGATCTGCCTACCTCTGCCCACCAAAGTGCTGGGATTATAGGCGTCAACCACTGTGCCTAGCCCATAACCCAGTTTTGGCCATGTTGTGAGCCCACATTCTTTATGTAACCTCAAGATGGCATCTAAGCTCTGTGCTTTGTTGGGAAGTGGGGTCTTCACTTCAAAGGCTCCCGTGTATACACGTTAAACAAATATGCATGCTCTTTCCCCTGTTAGTCAATGTGCCCCATGCCAGTGATTTTGCAGTGGCCCTTCAGAGGATGAAGAGGAAAGCTCTCGCTTGGCCCCCGCAGTATCATCACGAAGTTTCAATGCTCTCGAAATCCCCTGGGCTCCACTGATTCAATCCTTCCTCACTCCAATCCCTTGAAGCAGCTACGTTGTCTGGGATATATACCCTGGGGTTCATTGTCGTGCGCCAGGAAAATTTAGGACAGGGCCAAACACGAGGAGTTTAGGAGCGGAGGTTTAATAGGCAGAAGTGAAGAGAAACAGCCACAGCTGTCTCTTCTCCAAGCGGAAAGGCCTGGTGGACCCAGATGCGCTGAATTTATAGTCAGGTTTGAGGAGGCGGAGTCTGATTTACATAGAACTCACAGATTGGTTCTATCAGGTGTGACGTTTACAGAGCACGAGGGGAAGGCTGGTGGCCCTGCCCTAATCTGATTATGCAAATAGGCTTTCCAGTTGATCTGCACTGTCTTGTCTGTTTCTTACTGTACACGTGGCTGGCACAGATGGGAGGATGGAGCCACAACTTAGCATGTCTAGTCCCTAGTTCCTATGGGCACTCACTCGTGCAAGCCTGCTGCTTGTCTATGTCTGCTGCTCAACTTTGCAGGCTGCTCTTTGTTAGAAAATGATTTGGGGCCGGGCGCGGTGGCTCAAGCCTGTAATCCCAGCACTTTGGGAGGCCGAGGCGGGTGGATCACGAGGTCAAGAGATCAAGACCATCCTGGTCAACACGGTGAAACCCTGTCTCTACTAAAACTACAAAAAATTAGCTGGGCATGGTGGCGCGTGCCTGTAGTCCCAGCTACTCAGGAGGCTGAGGCAGGAGAATTGCCTGAACCCAGGAGGTGGAGGTTGCGGTGAGCCGAGATCGCGCCATTGCACTCCAGCCTGGGCAACAAGAGCGAAACTCCGTCTCAAAAAAAAAAAAGAAAAAGAAAAAAAAAAGAAAGAAAATGATTTGGGACTGCTTTTCATTAAAAAGAAAAGCCTTGGCCAGGCGCGGTGGCTCAAGCCTATAATCCTAGCACTTTGGGAGGCTGAGGTGGGCGGGTCACAAGGAGTTCGAGACCAGCCTGGCCAATATGGTGAAACCCATCTCTACTAAAAATACAAGAAATTAGTCGGGCATGGTGCAGACACCTGTAATCCCAGCTACTCAGGAGGCTGAAGACAGGAGAATTTTGAACCTAGGAGGCAGAGGTTGCAGTGAGCCGAGATTGGGCCATTGCACCCCAGCCCAGGTGACAGAGCGAGACTCCATGTAAAAAAAAAAAAAAAAAAGCTTACCAAGGACACCCCTACCCTTACTATCAGCCTAAGAGATTTCTTCTGAACTCCTGTATCACCCTGACAACCACTAACCTTTATACTGTCTCTAGTTTTGCCTTTTCCCAGTGTCACAGAGGTGGAATCACACAGTAGGTAGTCTTTTCAGGTTGAGCTGCTTTCACTTAGTAAGACTCATTTAAGTTTTTTCCATGTCTTTTCTTGGCTTGATAGCTTTCTCTTTCTTTTCTTTAACTGCCTCAAGATGTCTTCCAGCTCATTTCTTTTTAGAGCTGAAAAAATTCCATTGTCTGGATATACTGTTTTTCACCTGCTGAAGGACATCTTGGTTACTTCCAGGTTGTGGCAATTATGAAGAAAACTGCTATAAACATCTGTTATGTTGATCAAAAAAGCCAAACTAAAATATTTGAAGAGATGGATTCTGAGCCAGATATGATTGATTATGGCCAGACGCACGGTCTCGAGGGTGCCAGGGCGGCGGAGTCACAGCTCGGTTTTATACGTTTCAGGGGGACATAAGACGTAAACGAATAATTCGAGTTATATGTTAGTTCTGTTTGGAAAGAGGAGACCACTGGAGCTGGGGATGGAGAGGGTTTGGGTTGGCTTACAAATCATAGGTGATTTCAAAGATTTTCTGATTAGCAGTTGGTTGAAAGAGTTCTTAGCAAAGAACCTGGAGACAATAGAAAGAAGAGTCTTGGTGAAGATAAAACCAAGGCTCTTATGATGTAGATGAAGTCTCATAGATGGCTGCCCTTAGAGACAATCGATGACAAATATTTCCATCTCAGATCTCTAAAAGGTGCTCGGCTCTTCAGAAATGACCTGATAAAGGAAACATATTCTCTGCAGAATGCAGATTTCCTCCACAAGAGACAGCTGTGCAGGGCCATTCCAAAATATGTCAAATAAATACATTTTGGGGGCTGGGCGCGGTGGCTCATGCCTATAATCCAAACACTTTGGAGGCCAAGGCGAGTGGATCACCTGAGGTTGGGAGTTCAAGACCAGGCTGACCAACATGGTGAAACCACGTCTTTAAAAAAAAAAAAGTAAAAAAAAAAAAAGAAATACATTTTGGAATAAAATACTTCCATTTCTTTCATGACCTGCCATCTGTCTGTCATGTGATGCTATACTGTAGTCAGGTTGGAATTTTATGTCTTATTTCTACAGAGTCTGTCCTGTCAGTCTTCAGAGCTCTGTTGTAAGGCCAGTCAGCTGAGCCTGAATTCCAAAGGGAAGAGAGTATAATGAGGCATGGCCAACCCCTACCGCCCATCATGGCCTGAACCTTCAGGTTCCTTTGGGTCCCCCTGGCTGAGAGGGTGTTGCATTCAGTCAGCTGAGGGGCTTGGAATTTTAGTTTTGGTTTACAGCTATAAACATCTGTTTGCGGGTTGGGTAAATACTAAGGACTGAGAGTGCTGGATCACGTGCTAGGAGTGGGTTTTATTATTAGGAAACTGCCAGACCGTCTTCCAACGTGGCCGCGCCGCTTGTCATTCCCAGCAGCAACGAATGGGAGCTCTGGTTGCTCCACGTCCTCCTCAGCATTTGGTGTTTGGCCAGCTTTCTGGATTTTGGCCATTATTACAGGTATGCAGTGGTAGCTCACTGTTTAAATTTGCATTTCCCTGACAACATATGATGTGGATATATCTCATACAGAAATACAGATGGGGTCTTGCTATGTTGTCCAGGCTAGTCTTGGATTACTAGGCTGCTCAGAGACCGTCCTGCCTCGCCCTCTGAACATGATGGGATTCTGTGCCTGAGCCACTGCACCCAGCCTGGGATGTCTTTTCGGGTGCTTATCTGCCACCTGTATAGGTGGATAACAGTGCTTTATCAGATGTCTTTTGCTAATATATTTTTCCAGTCTGTGGCTTGTCTTTGTTTTCTTTGCAGAGCAGAAATTTTTTATTTTAATGAAGTCCAGCTTACGTCACACAAGGCAGAGCTGCAAATCCGACACAGGGCCCACCCGATGCTGCCGCTCCACAGCTGTGTGGCCTGGGCCTGTGTCTGCCTCTCTGAATTTCACATTTCCCCATCAATACCTTCACTCGGAGAAACTATGGATGAGAAGTCCGTACGTTATTGTTTACAGGATGATCTAAAATGAACACAAAAACTTTGTTTTCAAGCAGAGAAACATCCACTTAAAGTCCTAGGTAGGGGCCAGCATGGTGCCTCATGACGGTAACCCCAGCACTTTGGGAGGCTGGGGTGGGCAGATCACCTGAGGTTAGGAGTTTGAGACCAGCCTGGCCAAAATGCTGAAACCCTGTGTCTACTAAAAGTACAAAAAAATTAGCCTAGCATAGTGGCACATGCCTGTAGTCCCAGCTACTCAGGAGGCTGAGGCAGGAGGTTCGCCTGAACCCAAAAGGCAGAGGTTGTAGTGAGCTGAGATCATGCCATTGCACCCCGGCCTGGGTGACAAGAGCAAAAGTCAGTCTCAAAAAAAAAAATTAAACAACAAAAAAAAAAAAAAAAAAAAAAAAAACGTCATAGGTAGGTTTCTACATCTGCATGATTTAAAAACCCCAAAGTTCTAAGTAACTGTGTGTCGGCAGATGGCCTAATCACAGAGTGACTTAAGGGACCTGGAGGCACGAATGCATATTCTGTGGGAGAATTTCAGGAGAATGAGCAAACCAATCTTAAATGATCCTTCGTGGGTCTTACTGTTTTATGATATATTACTTTATATAATTTATAATTTCTTATTTAAATTCATGTACTTTATAACTTATTATATGACTTATTGCAATAGCTTATATTTTGAAACTAGCATATGTATGTTACAGGAAAAATAACATAAACAATTATGCTGGTGCTGTCGGGAACCCAGACATTCAGCATAGGCAGAAAAGAAACAGGTGTAAAATCAGAAAAGTAAAACCCCACAATCTTACAACTGGGAAATACCTGCATGAATTCATACTTTATTATTATTTGATTTGGTGTCTTGCTCTGTCGCCCAGGCTGGAGTGCAGTGGTGCGATCTTGGTTCACTGCAACCTCTACCTCCCGGGCTCAAATGGTTCTCCTGCTTGAGATGGGACTACAGGTACATGCCACCACACCTGGTTAATTTTTTGTATTTTTAGTAGAGATGGGGCTTCACCATGTTGGCCAGGCTAGTCTCGAACTCCTGACCTCAAGTGATCCTCCTGCCTTGGCCTCCCAAAGTGCTGGGTAGGATTACAGGCGTGAGCCACTGTGCATGGCTTCATGCTTTTTTTTTTAATGGTGAATTTCCTAGCTCTGTCTCTTCCAAAGCCCTAGCAGTAAAGAAATCCCAGGAGCAACCACCACCCCTGTGACCAGATTGGGGTCTCTAAACACCACATTCACACCAACGAAGGAGCGCACACTGGGGAAATGGCTTGGTTGGGTCCCTGGCAGGAAATGCCAGGGAGGGGCTGGAGCCTGCACCATCTTGGTGGCTGGCAAGTAGGAAGATGCCCAAGACCCAAGGGTTATGTGAAAGGACTATAGAAGCCAACCTGAGGCCACCTCTAGCCAAAGACAGACAAGCTGGGCATGAAAAAGCAAGCCTGCAATTGACAGACAGGTCCTGCAGCTTAGTCTTGGGAGCAAAGAAAGACGCCAGACAGGGGAATGAGGTTTTATTCAGAAAGAGCTCAAGAGGGGAGGGGAGCCCCTGGGGTCCCTCCCTTGTGGCCTCTTGAGGCCAAGGCTCATGGGATGCTAGAAACCAATGACTGCAGGCATCTGAACTCCCTTGGAGTCATCTGTGGGGGGCACAGGGGCGGCCTCGGAATCACCCGTGGGAGGGACAGGGATGGCCTCAGAGTCACCCGTCGGGGGGACTGGGGCGGCCTCAGAGTCACCCGAGGGGGGCACAGGGGCGGCCTCAGAGTCACCTGTGGGGGGCACAGGGGCGGCCTCAGAGTCACCCGTCGGGGGGACTGGGGCGGCCTCAGAGTCACCCGTCGGGGGGACTGGGGCGGCCTCAGAGTCACCCGTCGGGGGGACTGGGGCGGCCTCAGAGTCACCCGTGGGGGGGACAGGGGTGGCCTCAGGGTCCCCTGCGGGGGGTGCGGGGGTGGCCCCCTGATCAGTCACCGTGGGCAGCGCCAGATAGCTAAGAGTCCAGTAGCGCAGGAAGTTGGTTCTCAGACCCCGCTTCATGGAGTTGCTGTCTATCTTCTTGGTGATCTCCAGGTAACTACCGTTTTCGGTGGTGTAGGGATCCCAGTGTGTGGGCACAGCTGAGTTGCCCATATTGGGGTCCCTGCAGAGTGAGAAGAGGCTGTTCAGGGCTGGGGACTTTCAGGGGGCTGAAGCTCTGCTCTGCACCCACACACTTGAGCCATCCCCCCCCGAGCTGGCCCTGGGCACCGTGGCTCCTCACTTCATACTGGGCACCGGCTATGCACAGAGCTTGGGGCTCTGCCAGTAGCTCTTTATCCTCGGAAACACACATAGATTCCCATGCTGGGGGAGGTTAAGTGGCTCGCCCAAAGTCCCTCCCCTGGCTAGTGAGGGAACAGGGCCTGCTGGCAGGAGGCCCTTACGTCTAAGGTCCTCCCCTCTGCGCTCAACCCACGCCTTACCCTGTTTTGGCAAAGTTGGTCCAGTAGGCGATCATGTTCTTAGAGACTGTCCTGTCTTGGGGCCGGTAGCCCAGGGGGGTGGCGAAGGGCTTCCCGAAGACATACTGGATGTCATCTGCATGGTCCGCCCCCACCCATTTGGGGTAAGTGGGCATCCGAGAGGGATGGGAAAACAGGTAGGTGTAGGTCTTGGCACTCCTGGAGGGGAGAGACCACCCAAGTAGGCAGGGTGCCCACCAGGGACCACCCAGCCCAGAGTCCAGCCCTAAAGGGAGGTCCCGGGCAGCGGGCAGAGAAGGGGCTGGGGAATTCACATGAAGAGACTGGGCTTCTTATACCCAGGGAAGGGAAAGCTGTGGATCAAATTCATGGATTCATGGGTTCTACGATTTCAACTGAATTCATATTTCAGCTTTATAAAACACTGTGAGGCACCTTCCTTCTATAATCCAGTATCAAGAAATAGTTTTCTCTCCAAGTGAATATGCATTCTTCAATTGGATTGGACAAGGCATGGGCCCTCCACTGTTTCCCTTTTTGCCTTGACTGAAAGGAGGCTCACAGCTCAGTGGATTGCTTAGTTGCTGCAATGCTTTCATCCCAGACTTCTTGGCATACTTTTATCTTCCCGTCTTTTTAGCATTTCTTATTTTTCATTTTTATTATTATTTTCTTTTACTTATTTATTTGAGACAGAGTCTTGCTCTGTTGCCCATGCTGGAGTGCAGTGGAGCAATCTTAGCTCACTGCAACCTCCACCTTTTGGGTTCAGGTGATTCTCCTGCCTCAGCTTCCCGAGTAGCTGGGTTTACAGGTGCGCACCACGTCTGGCTAATTTTTGTATTTTTGGTAGAGACAGGGTTTTGCCATGTTGGCCAGAGTGGTCTCAAACTCCTGACCTCAAGTGATCCTCCTGCCTCAACCTCCCAAAGTGCTGGGATTACAGGCATGAGCCTCTGTACCCAGCCTTATTTTTTATTTTAATAAGCTATTCTTACATAAAGGTCTTTAATGTGGCCGTGGGCTGAAAATATTTTGTAAATTGGCAAAGTTGAGGCCTGTTGGCAATACATGCTTGGTGCCGTAAAGAAAAATCGGCACGGAGACAAAGGATCTCTCAGCAATGCGATTTTTACTTCCTGGACTGCAGGAAGGGTACTCTCCTTAGCCATTTTGTCACAAGAATATCCTTCCTGCAGTCCAGGAAGTAAAAATCGCATTGCTGAAAGATCCTTTGTCTCCGTGCTGATTTTTCCTTGAAGCACTGAGCATCTATTTTCAACCTCTGTTTCCAACAAGGCCTCTAAGAGTCATAGAATAGAAAAACCCTTGTCCGGTGTTCTCTCAATCTACACAGTGTGGGGGATAAAAGGCAGCTCAATAACTCTCCAGTGACAAGGACTGTGGGGTGCGGGGCTGAGCAGAGCAGAGGATGCTGGGGTTTGTAAACCCCCTAGGGGCTGGGAGGAAAACAGAGGCCCTCAAGTCTTGCCAGGCTCAGCAAAGTGGATCAGGAAGGCACAGGAGGGGACTCCAGCACCACTTCCCAGACAACCCAGATGCCTGTGAGCTATCTACAGAGAGGCCTCGGCTGGAAATGCAGCACCCAAGAGGGCCCCCCAGGACCCATCCCCTTCCCAGATCCTCACTTGGCGTTGGCTCTGTGCTGGGCCAGGGCAATCTCAGTGGGCACCAGGAAGAGGATGTCAGTCTCAAAGTCCACCACAGTCTTCTTCTTGTTCTCCTGGGATGGGTCCTGGGCCCAGGACTCGGTGTAGACGTCAAAGGTTGTCTTGGCGCCTCTGAGCCCCTTGGTGATGGTGAGCCCACTGACCAGCCTGAAGAAGTCCTCCCTGCGGGGAACAAGTAGGCACTGATGCTCTCCCTGTGCCAACAGGAGGGTGTCTGCACACCCAGCTATACTGGTGCTAACTTTCTCACTCCCAATCCTCCACTCAATGCCTTCCTTCTCCAGGCTGGCCCAACTCCAGCCCGGGTTGCCCCTGGGTCTGGTGCCCCCTTACTCTGTGACTTCCTGCTTGTCCTTGTTGATGGCAGGCATGTCAATGCTGGCGAAGATGTGGCCGTCCATGTTGTTGGTGCCTGCTATGTAGTCGATGTCGGCGGCGTTGGCGTATAGGTTGACGGGGTCATCGGGGATGAAGTCTCCATCAATTACAGGGAGGAAGCCCAGGTAGTGCAGCATGGGGTCTGGGTGGGAGAGCCAGCAGGTTCTAGTACCTTCCAGTGTCCCCCTGAGCTACCCCTTGCCTCTCAGGGCTGGAGTTGGCCATGTTCTTCCTTCTCTGATCTATGGACACTTGGGGCAGGGAGGATTCTGCACCATCGGGGACATCCTGTGCTCTGTAGGATGTTTAGGGCATCAAGAGCATCGACCCACGAGGTGCCAGGAGCACCCCTCCCCAACAGGGACAATCACAAATGTCTCCAGGCCTTGCCACATGTCCCAGGCTGAGAGCCACTGTCTAGGGCCAGATCTGTCCTCTTCAGCGGCAGCCCCTCCCTCTCCTCTCTCTCTCTTTGCTGGGCCTGAATCAGGAAGGAGGAAAACTTAGAAGCCACTGAGGGGACTGACGGAGAAGGAGCTCCCTCTCGCAGGGCTGGGTTCCAGTCCATTAGCCAAACATGGTGCGAGGTCTGCACTGCCCTCCACACCCCTGGACTGGCCCCTAGAGGACCCCGTGGCTGCTGAGACAGAGGGTCCCCGCTGTCACTGGGCCCAGCACAACGGGCCTTGCTCCCAGTGGGGCCCTGCTTCTTGCTTTGCTCGGACTTGCCCAGCCCGTGCAGTTGAGTTCCTGTCAGGTAGACATGCAGATGACGGGGCTTCATGGCACGTTTCCATGGGAGAATGAGCAAGAGAGAAGTGTAGCCTAGCAAGCTGGGGAGGCTGACACTCACAGGTGCTTGTGGAAGGGGTCCCCAGGCCTTTCTGGGGTACAGAATCGTGGAGCTGGAGGCCCCAGTGCTACAGTTTATTACATATTTTCTGAAGGAAGGAAGGAAATGTCATCCAGCAAAAAGGCTCTTGGTCTGGGGTGTATGAATCTCCCTAAAATTATATGCAAATGACAGCATATGAATGCATGAGGTGGGGCAGTGGGCTCCAAATGTTCATCAGCTTCTCAAAGGGGGAGTCAGTGACTCATGGGAGATAAGAAGAAAAAATGCGCCAGGCGAGGTGGCTCACGCCTGTAATCCCAACACTTTGGGAGGCTGAGGTGGGCAGATCACCTGAGATCAGGAGTTTGAGACCAGCCTGGCCAACATGGCAAAATCCCGTCTCTACTAAAAATACAAAAATTAGCCAGGCATGGTGACACATGCCTGTAGTTCCAGCTACACAGGAGGCTGAGTCAGGAGAACCACTTGATCCCAGGAGGCGGAGGTTGCAATGAGCTGAGATCCTGCCACGGAACTCCAGCCTGGGCGACAGAGTGAGACTCCGTCAGTCTCAAAAAAAAAAAAAAGAAGAAGAAATGGCTTCCCATCTCCTCTTTCTTACAGCTGGGCCTTGGAGGGGAGACAGCCGCTTGGTGGTGGCAGGACCAGGCTGCAGCTCTGCCACCTTCCTCTCTTCCAGAGTACTTCCTGGCAGTACCCACCCCCACCTCGAGACCCCACGGCCCAACCTGAGCAGCTACTCACACTCCATGCCTGCCAGCGGCATCTTATAGGCCAGCGTCAGGGCTCGGGGATCGGTCACCTTCAGACACTTGGCCATCCTGGCAGTGTCCTCCACAGGGCAACCCACCTTCTCCGCCAGCTGGGGGCACGATCAAGGCCGGCGGGTGTGGGGAGGCCAGTGTTCACGGTGCAGAACCATTTGAAGGCAGGAACGGGGTCCAGGACAGAGAATGGAAATGAGGACGGCCCCTACCCGGTATCAAAGCAGCCCCTCCCTGCCCACCCCTGCCCTCCTCCGTTTACCTTTTTGGCCCAGAAGAGGGGGTTTTTCTGGATGACCCAGGAGCTCAGGGCCACACCGCTCTGGCTGATGGCTCGCCGGATCAGGCCCTTGT